TATGAGCCCTTCTTTAGAACTCTAAGTCCATCCATAACACCTCTCCAAACCATTGACTGGTTTATACCCAATTTAGCCCCTAAAAAACCGCCATCTTTAAAATATTTGTCCTTAAGAACTTGATAGCAAAGACTATTAGCATCTTGCATAAGCCTCCAACTTTGCTTGGTTAACATAGCAAGGTTAAAAGCTTGAAAGTCCCGAAATCCCAATCCACCTAAATTTTTTGGCCTACAAACCAGGTCCCAACATAGCCAATGAATCTTCTGCTTGTCAGAATTGTCTCCCCACCAAAAATTATTGATTATATTATTAATGGATTGTAGAACGGTATGTGGTAAATAAAAGCATTCCATACAATAAGTTGGTATGGCTTACACGACAGCCTTAATCAAAACTTCCTTGCCTCCTTTGGACAACATTTTATTTTTCCAACCATTAATCTTAGACCAAATACGATCTCGAATGGAGTTAAAACAGATAGACTTGTTTCTCCAAATAAGAAGTGGCATACCTAGATATGTATTATTCGCAAGGACTTGTTGAATGCTCAATATCTCCATCACTTTAGACCTCATCTCATTAGAAGTGTTGTGGCTAAAGAAAATGGAAGACTTGTTTAAATTGATCTGTTGCCTAGAAACCTCCCCATATTTCCACAAAATGTTTACTAGCCTATGAGCCCCTCTCTCAGAGGCTGCACCAAATAAGAGGCTATCATCAACAAAAAATAGATGGGAGATTCTTGGTCCACCACAACTTACAGTAACACCTTTTAGGATCCCTCTTTGTAGATCATTAGAAAGCATTGCTAATAGGCCCTCTGCACACAAAAGAAAAAGAAAAGGGGACAAGGGGTCTTATTGTCTAATCCCTCTTGATGGAGTGAACTTCTTGGTGAGGGAACCATTAACCATAATTGAATATTCAAAAGATAAATTGATATTAATTAGAATTATTATGTGATAGACATGTGATGTGATAATAGTCACTATCCCATGAGCAATAACTCTAAACCAGACTGGAGTGCTATAACAAGCTTGTGATGGGGAAAAAGGAAGTTCGAATGAGGGAGAATGGAGGGGAAGCAAAGGAGAGAAAAGGAAAGATGAGCATGAGGAGTACAAAGACATTTTTGTCTTTTTAGTTTTGTTAATTATATTAATTAAATTAAATCACAAAAATATGTTTAGGTTGACTTGTTTGCGTAATCACCAAATATATGGCCAGCTCATTAAAGTAATGGCTTCCAACAATGTACCTGGATCCTACCCAAAGATCTTCATCGCTAGTTTTAAACGATCAATGAGGTGGCTAGTGGACCGTTCAGTAAGTGTTTTTTTGCCACTGTCAAAGAGTTTAGGGTGTTGATTACCTCTCATTTCAGTTCATTATCTACGAAAATATTATAATTATAATATTATATAAAATTATATGTTTATAATTTTATATAATAGTTAATAAAATACAATATGATATTAAAAATATATATAATAATACTTTATATTATAAATTTATAATATAGCATAACAATATAACTAAAACATTTTTGAGGTGCTTTGCAAAAAATAAAAAAATAAAAATAAAAATAAAAACATTTTTGAGAGCTAATGTGGTGTCCATAAGTTTAAGGATTTATTAGCCTCACCACCTCGAAAACTAAAAGGCCAACAAGGTTCCAGAATTTAGGCAAACCCCCCCCCCCACCCTTTTTTAAGCCCCAAACTTAATCAAAATTATTACGTGAATGTGAGCTACTAATAAATAAATTTTTAGAATCTTAAATGATATAAATTAATACCCCCTCAACTGATGCAAACAACTCTTATCATTAACGATAAATTGCTTGCTCCCACTTCTCCTTACCCCCATGCCAAAACACCGTTCCTTGCTCCTCACAAAACACTGTTCCTAAATTGTTCAAACACGCTCCTAGCATTTCAAGTAATATTTTATTTCCTCTTTGGTTTTTTAGGTGATTAATTTAGAGATTAAAAACACTGTTCACACATGGAACTACGCCGGCATATTGGTCACTGTGTAATATTATTAATCTCACTCTTTGGGTTTTTTTTTGTTTGTAATTTCAAAAGTAGAAATAAAGTGCATTTCCTAAATTGCCCTAAACTATTTTTTCATCCCAAAAGACCATGGAGGGTGTTTTAGTAATTTTAGTTTGAGGTTGCTCTTCTTCCCTCCCCTGTGAGGGAAATTGCAAGGTTGGAAGGTGGTTCGATGGGTGAACTTGGCGCCAATCTAAATGCTGACTTGGCATGAGATTAGGGATGTGTGTTGATTAATTGTATTGTTTAGTAGTTTATGTTAGTTAATTCTAGTTTATAGCAATTTCTTAACTTGTTGCATGTAATCATTCATGGTGATTATGTGATATTGCAAATTCCTTTGAACTTTTCTTGTCTCCTTGCTCTTCTCAATCTTTCTTCTTTCTTTTTAATTAATTTCCTAAATTTTCATCATTCTTCTTCCTTCTATCATCTCTGTTTCTATCGTACTTCTTGTTGTATTCTTTTTTACTGCATCATTGGTGGTAAACACCCTTATGGAGATAGTTCTACTCCTGTAAAAAACATTTTCTAACGAATATTAAGAGTGATCGTAAGGATCTCTCCTCCATGGAGAGCAAACCAGAAGCTGTGCATCTTATCTCCCATCTCTTGAATCCTAACCCAAACATGAGGTAAGCACGCAGTGTCTATATTACCTTTACACTTATATGGTTACTGTTTGAATTATATATAAATATTTCATGTCTACATATTCTTAATTCTATGGTTAATTCATATGATAATGCTACGTACACACACCTCCGTCACACCCCTCGTTACACCCACTTACTTTCCATTACTCTCCGTTACTCTCCGTTTCATTAACTCCCAAACCTGCAATTGCCCAATAAAACCTGCAATTTCATCCTCTTCACCAATGCTGGGTTCTTTGATTTTCAACCTTCTTCCTTCTTTTCCCTCCTCCTTTCTTTTTCTTCTTTCCCTCCCTTCCCCTCTTCTTCCTTCTCTTCCCCCCTCCTTGATCTGGGTTCTAGAGAACTCAGATTTGGGGGAGAACCCAAATTGGGTTCCCAAATCTGAGTTCTCCAAGAGACCCCAAACCTGGGTTCTCATGGGTTCTCCTTCAAAACCCACGGGACGAAGAAGACAGGGAAAAAAAAAAGAGGAAGAAGATAATGAGCTTTTATAGATTTTTGTTAGAATTTTTACAAATTTGATTTGTTAGAATTTTTACAAATTTGATAATATGGTGTGTTATTTGATTGATAAGAAAGTTGGAGGTGGAAAGAAAATTTCTTTGGTAGGAAGGGGGGGTCGGTGTTTGGTTTGGGATGGCTAGCAATTGTCCTACAAATGATTAGGATGAGGATGAAGGTGAGGAGGAAGATGGATTTGGTGAGGACGATGAACGACAAGAAGGAGAAAAGAAAGGAGAGAGAGAAAGAAAGGGTTGGGCTGAACGAGTGTGGAGTTAACGGTGGAATTAACAGGAAATAACGAAAAGAGAAGGTGTGTAATGGAGTGTGTGGAAGTTGAGGGTAAACGTATTAGTATCCTAATTCATAAATTGAATACTCCTTATTTTGCAGGCCAAAGGCACAAGAGGCTTTGGAATATCCTTTGTTTTGGACTTTTGGCAAGAGGCTTTCGTTTCTTCGAAATGCATACGATCATGTTTTGGAATTGGAAGACTCTAAACTCTTCAATGCATTAGAAAACACTGTTGCGAAGTCTCTAGCCAGAAATTGCGATGAGGATTCAGAAGTAACATTCCTCAATAGCATTGGTACTGGCAGTGGCAGTTCTAAGTTTGACACTACTGCTGACTTGTTGCGGCTAATAAAGAACACGTCCATCTATCATGCTCAACTTCCTCAAGCAACCCAAGAATTATTGGGATCACTTTCTGAAGCATTGGATGATTATTTTTCAAGCAAATTTCCAAAACTATTTATTGAGGTTTACAAGTTGTTCTATAAATTTTGTAAAAATGAAGAGTTCTTTCATAAATACAAAAGGACCAGTAGCATAATCTGAAAAGTAAGCTACTACAAAGCTTCTATAATTGTATTTTTGAAAGGATCTTTTTTAGTCTGACAAAGTTGGTAGAACAGCTCACAAAGATGAAAATGTTATTCAATAGAACTTGGTCCTAATTTGTAATTATGATCTCAAATTCAGTTGAAGATTTTTTTTTTTTTTAATGGACAATAGAAGAAATTAATTTTGATTCTTGTATTAATACTTCATATGATTTGAATAAACAGAGCAAACAAAATGTTCCTAACTAATTACCAAGTTTAACACATAACAAAATAATCTAAGACAGATGATTAGATATTGAAAAAAAAAAAAAAGGAGAGACGTCATTAAGATTTGTTTTCTTAGTACATTGCGTTTGCGCCTAGGTGTGCATCTTGGGGATGTTGACTTGACAAAGAAACTGTATAGAGATTAGCAATCTTGATAATACTGGATAGGCTTTATTAGGAGTAGTGAGGCTACACAGAGAGAGTAAAGTCTACTTAGCCTCAAACCAACATTCCCCCTATGGTTGCAATATCAACATCTCAATCTTAACCTGTGATCAGTATATAATCATAAGAAACATGATATTCATATTTGGAGTAGAAGAGGGATGTCTCTTTCCTTATATTTGAATTATTTCATTAACGAAGGATATGATGGAGCTCCCTCCACTCTTCTATTTTCTATCTCTTAAATTGTAGGGATTGTATAAATTTAGTTTACATATTTAACTTTTAAATATATTATTTTAATTACTACTTAAATACTAGAACTAAAAATTTTTATTTTTTTTATTTTTTAAAATTTATTTAATAAAATAAAAATATTTCCTTCCTCCCCTCCACTTTTATTTATCCAACCAAAGTTATCATTAAACTTTTCCTTCCCTTTCTCTTCACTTCTCTCTTCCATTCCTTTTCCTTTACTAGTAATTTTTCTTGTCTCCAATCCCCTCATGAAGGAATAAGGACTTATCTTTCATTCTTATATTATCTTCCTTTCCAATTAAGTTTTTTTCATTTTACTGTCTCATAAAAATAATATAGAACATTATAATTGAAGCATTTTTTTTTTTTTTTGGTTGGTTTGACAAATGAAACTCTCACCGTTTGGTTTTCAGAAAATACCAATTGAACCAAAACACACCATAATATGGCCAAAAAAAAGAAAACAAAACACACCACAATCTGGCGAAAAAAAGAAAACAAAACAAACAATCAATCAAATTTCTTCTGTAACACTGTTATTAAATATACTCCATATACATATCCGCAGATAAAAGAAAAAAAAAAACTGCAGGAACTGCAATTTCTCCAACCAAATGCGTTGAGAAATTTCTCATCATATAATAAATCAAAACATAAATGTTAAATAAAATCAATGGAAGGTATACGTGATTGCGAGGGCCACTAGAAGGAGAAGGTAGGCGATTCCTTGATCAATAGCCGTCCCGTCGCTGGTCGGAGGCGCCGGTGCAGGGGAAGAAGCCATCGTTTGTCCGCAACTAAGCTGTAACAGAGCGAAGAAGACGACGGCCACGATAGGGAGAATCTGCATCCTCGCTGAATTCATCCTTGGAAAATGAGAAATTAACGCGAAGCCGGCGGAAGACTTCAGATCCAGAGAGACTTTGGGGCGGCGGAAGGGGGTGATGAGAGGGGTTTAGGTGGAGATTGTATTTATACGGCGGAAGTGAGGAGGTGCGGTTTCCGGGAAAGTGAGGAGAAAACAAGCATGCGTTTGGTACGAACGAACGCGTAAAACGGTAAAAGGACGCCAGATTTCTTTCACATTGTAGGCGGCTCCCTGTGTTTTGACCGTGGGGACGTGGACTTGGATCCTTAATTACGTGTCATTTCGTTATTGGATGGGACCTTGTGACGGCCTCTTCTAGAAAGACTATTCTTTTTTTTTCCTTTTTTTTGGACTTGTTTAGGAATGACGTGTAATTGCCTTGTTTGGGATTCTTTGATGATCAATCTATTCTCATCTAAAACGTAATTTGATTCTTGTTTTTGTTAATCGGATTCTTAAAGATTAGAGAAAATTAGAGATTTTGAGTACGGCAAGTTGCTCTAAGATTATTTTTATGAAGGATTTTTTTAATTTATATTTTTAAGAGTGTAATAAATATCTTCTTCAATTAATTTATCTAAAAAATAATAATAATTAATTTAGAGAAAATTAGAGATTTTGAGTACGGCAAGTTGCTCTAAGATTATTTTTATGAAGGATTTTTTTAATTTATATTTTAAAGAGTGTAATAAAT